GCTTTGTCTTCAGCGGTTGTGTCGGGAAGGTGAGCATCATAGAATGCCAATTTACTAGAAGCAAGTATTCTTGTGTTGAGGGAGTACTTGAGTGGAGGCCCAATGTCCTTCTGCTACCTTAATTGCCACACACACATTTTAGTGTCCTCCATGAGCATTAACCAGTAGTGGTTACTTACACATTGGGTTGCTAACTGCAAGGTCAGCAGTTGACAATGACCAGCCTCTCTGTGGAAGCAAAACAGGTTGTTCTACCCCCACAAAGAGTGACAGTCTCGGAAACTCACAGGGACAGTTCTACACTGTCCTGTCGGGTCGCTATGAGTTGGCATCCACTCGGTGGCAATGAGGTTTTTTTGTGTTTGTTTGGAGTTGACATGAAGTATGTGGTACCTCCTGTTGACCCCAAGGGTTTGGGGGCAGGACCATACTCCACCGGACCCCGAATGGTGGAGAGCTGGCTTGATTGGGACGTCCCACTTTTCTTGACCGGTGGAGTATACTGACCTACTTCGATACCGGGTGCCTCCAGTCAGGCTCACATGGCATCCATTTGGGCGCTGTCCAGTTGCTTATATGGCCTTTGGTCCCCTAAAATTATAATAGAGCTCAGAAATCTGATCAGACTGGGAGATGGCAAGCACAGTTGCATGTAGCATGCGTAGCTCACGTCTCTTGGACACGCAGTAACTGTGCGGCCGGGTGTATAGTGGTGCAGTACATAATAACCAAGAATGCACATGTCTGGACACCCCGACACGTGAGTCAGAATCAACTCGGCACCAGTGAGTTATGTTACTAGCTCGTCTATGTGCTGTATTATCTGCCAAGTTTGTCATAGAACACTGTACTGCTTTTGATTTGTAGGCGGCAGCATCTTGTGTCTGGTATCTTGTGTCTAGAGCGCTGCAGCATTCTCTCTTTGTTTAATTTTTCTTTCCAAAATATTATCCCGGCTCCCACCCAATGCACAAAGCCAGCGCTAGTTGATGGCAGCTGTAAGGAGACACATGGATGGGAAAGGTTCTTCAAAAACAAACGCGGAAAAAAATCAGCGAATGCGATGGCTCACAGGTGAGGCGCACCACACTCCATAATCATGACAGTGCTCAGGAACTAAGGAAAAACTATTCACACTGTCAGAAACACTTACCGAAAGCTACAAGAGTAGTATGCAAGAGGGACTTCTACAGAGTATGGAGAATTGGGAATGACGTGGATTGGGGAGCAAGCACAGGAACAAATCCCTCTGGGCGTGTTGATGATCTTTCTGAGGCACAAAGCGTTTTTGAGATGCTTAAGAAAGACCGGGCCATCCTTCAAGAGGCTGCTTGCCCCATGTCCAAGTCACAAAACGTTCTATTCTGCAGACCGCATGGTGGATGCTAAGGATGCAGGACTGCATTAGCCATTCTCATGCCAATCACCATCACAAGAGGCTTCGATTTCTATACTGCAGCACGGAGGCTGTTCAGTGATGGCCCTTGGACCAAATCCAGCCTGCACTTGGTTTTGTGGCGGCTAAGAACCATTTTTATTTGTTTAGATGCTTCCATTTTCGATAGCGATAGGAGCCCTGACATCATCTCCTCTGGGGAGTGCTTGCCTGGCACAAAGGCTCAAGTGTTGTCTACTAGCTGAGTGGCTGGTGGTGTCTATCCTCGTATGGGCACCTTGAGACAGGCCTGGCAACCTGCAGAGGTCACCGCCTTGGAAACTCCGTGGAACAGTTCTCCCTGCAGCTAACAACCATCTCTTCCGCTTTACCCCCTGGCTTTCAATTCTAGATATCAATGGTCTCACCTATTAAGAAAAAGTTGGCTGCTATAGAAGGAGGTTGAAAGGCATGAGTTATTATTGAGCCATATGAAATTGCTCTTAGTGAACTGATTCTTTAACTTATCAAATAGTCATTTCACATAAACTTGCTAACCCTCCCTGCCATCAAGGCAATCCCAATGCACAGAGCCCTATAGGGCAAAGTAGGACGACCCCCCTTTGGGTGTCTGAGGCTTTAAGGAGGCAGAAAGCCTCATCTCTCTAGAAGCAGCCGGTGGGTTGGAGCTGCTCAGCTTACGGTGAATAGCCCACTACGCTGTCAGGGCTCCCTTGGTGTGTTGTTGTGAGGCACCGTCCACTTGGCTCCAACTCATAACGACCTATGTAAACCAGAAAGAGCCATCACCTGGTCCCGCTCCATCCTCACCGCGCTTGTTATTTTGAGCCCATCGTTGCAGTCTCAGTCCATCTGGTGTATGGTCTCCCTCTTTTTCACTGCCCTTCGACTTGACAGAGCATGATGTCCTTCACCAGGGACTGGTCTCTCCTGACCACATGCCTTACATCGCTGAGATGAAGTCTCGCTCTCCTGGCCTCGCAGGAGCATTCTGGGGCTGTACTTCTTCCGAGACAGATCCTGTCATAGAGTTCCAACTAATAGGGTTTGAGGAGATGTTTCT